TATACGTTTAAATCGTTTATTTGATTATTTAAAAAAAAAGTTTCACGCGGGTCTTGCGATAGTATCGCTTGAAAACTATCTTCACTGACCTGCTACGTTTGCAATAAAAACTTCAATAATACTTTTGGTGTTGATTTCTACATTTTCTACGTTTATAAAAATTGTTTTAAAGTGCCTTCTTTTTTGTTGAACTAGAGGACTTTTTGCGAATTCGTTTGGTTTCGCGTGAGTTTCTCGGCCGTCGCCAGCACGAAGGTGTCACGACTAGCTGTCAAATCCGTGACGTGGCCTGGTCGACCGATTTTTCCAATTGGCAGAGGACTAACTTTCGTTTATCCCCTTTGAATAGTATATTTAAGTGTTGCGGCGATGACCACCTACGAGGAGTTCATCCAGCAGAACGAGGACCGCGACGGGGTGCGTCTGACGTGGAATGTGTGGCCCTCGAGTCGCATCGAAGCCAGTCGACTGGTCGTGCCCCTCGCCTGTCTCTACCAGCCGCTGAAGGAGCGCCCCGACCTGCCGCCCATCCAGTATGAGCCGGTCCTCTGCACCCGCAGCAATTGTAGGGCCATCCTGAATCCCCTGTGCCAGGTTGACTACCGGGCCAAGTTGTGGGTCTGCAACTTCTGCTTCCAGCGCAATCCGGTGAGTAATGAATCGTTAGACTTTGGACGCCATGTATAACAGCCCGTCTTCCAGTTCCCCCCCCAATATGCGGCCATTTCCGAGCAGCACCAGCCGGCGGAGCTGATTCCGGGATTCAGTACCATTGAGTACACCATTACCCGGGCTCCCACCATGCCGCCCGTCTTCATTTTCCTGGTGGACACCTGCATGGACGAGGAGGAGCTGGACGCCCTGAAGGACTCGCTGCAAATGTCGCTGAGCTTGCTGCCGCCCAACGCTCTCGTGGGCCTGATAACGTTCGGCAAGATGATTCAGGTGCACGAGCTGGGCGCCGAGGGCTGCTCCAAGAGCTATGTGTTCCGCGGCACCAAGGACCTGACCGCCAAGCAGGTCCAGGACATGCTCGGAATCGGGCGCGGTGCGGCTCCGGGACCGCAGCAGCAGCTGCCTGGGCAGCCGGCTGGAGCTGCGGCCCCCGTGCCGCCCGCCCATCGCTTCCTGCAGCCGATCGGCCAGTGCGACGCGGCTCTGGGCGATCTGCTCAGCGAGCTGCAGCGCGACCCTTGGCCGGTGCCGCAGGGCAAGCGCTACCTGCGCTCCACGGGCGCCGCCCTGTCGATTGCGGTGGGTCTGCTGGAGTGCACCTACCCGAACACGGGAGGTCGCATCATGACATTCGTGGGTGGCCCTTGCTCCCAGGGCCCCGGCCAGGTGGTTGACGACGAGCTGAAGCACCCGATCCGTTCGCACCACGACATCCACAAGGACAACGTGCGGTTCATGAAGAAGGCCATCAAGCACTTCGATGCCTTGGCCCTGAGGGCGGCCACCAATGGACATAGCGTCGACATATACTCGTGTGCCCTGGATCAAACCGGCCTTCTGGAGATGAAGCAGCTGTGCAACTCCACTGGCGGCCACATGGTGATGGGAGACTCCTTCAACTCGTCGCTCTTCAAGCAGACATTCCAACGCGTGTTCGCACGCGACGGTCGCAACGATTTAAAGATGGCCTTCAATGCCACGCTGGAGGTGAAGTGCTCGCGCGAGCTGAAGATCTCCGGCGGGATCGGCTCGTGTGTGTCGCTGAATGTGAAGAGCCCGTCGGTGTCGGATGTGGAGATCGGCATGGGCAACACGGTGCAGTGGAAGCTGTGCACGCTGAATCCCAGCTCCACGGTGGCCTACTTCTTCGAGGTGGTCAACCAGCATGCAGCCCCCATTCCGCAGGGCGGGCGTGGCTGCATCCAGTTCATTACACAGTACCAGCACCCAAGTGGACAGAGGCGAATCAGGGTCACCACACTGGCTAGGAAGTGAGTGCTAGCGGGGCATGTGCCCAGTGCTGAGTCTCTAACTAATTGTGTTCATTATTTACAGCTGGGCAGATGCCACCTCGAATGTGCACCACATCAGCGCCGGCTTTGACCAGGAGGCTGCCGCCGTGCTGATGGCCCGCATGGTCGTCTATCGTGCGGAGACGGACGAAGGACCAGATATTCTGCGCTGGGTCGATCGTCAGTTGATTCGCCTGGTAAGTGCATTCAGTATTTATTAGAGCCCTGCATGAATGGATTCAATGAATTATTTAGATTTTTTTGGTTTATATGAATGAATTAATTAGAATTTTGAGTTTAATAGAATTGAATGAATTTTGACTTTAATAGAATTGAATGAATAAATGGCACGAATTCCGAAATAATTCAAAGAAGAATAAAGGGCCATAATTTTGTGATTAAATATGCATACATTTTACTTTCTAAGCAATTCAATGTTAACTGTTAAAAATTGTTAAAAATTTTCCACTTTTTGTTCTCAAGAGAAGGCACAAAAAATCTGGCAAATTCCAAAAATTCATAAAAATTATTAATTTAATTCGAAATGAATTTGAAAAACATTCAATTCAACTTGAATTAAACAAGTCAGAAATTTCATGGCATACTATGGTAAAACAAAAATTGAATGATTCACGCAGGGCTCTAGTATTTATGTCCAAAATTTAAGAGCTTAAGAAGAACTTGGAGCACAGTTAATTTTAGATTCTTACAAACAATTAATTTCGAATAATCTGAATTTTATTTACAAGTTTTATAGACACATTTATATTTATAGAAAGTGATATTCTTAAATTAATATTTTTCTAACATTTATATAACACTTTAATAATCTCTTTTCTGCCTTGCAGTGCCAAAAGTTCGGCGAGTACTCTAAGGACGATCCGAACAGCTTCCGGCTGTCGCAGAACTTCAGTCTGTTCCCGCAATTCATGTACCACCTGCGCCGCTCGCAGTTCCTGCAGGTCTTTAACAACTCGCCCGACGAGACCACATTCTACCGACACATGCTGATGCGCGAGGACCTCACCCAATCGCTGATCATGATCCAGCCGATCCTCTACAGTTACTCATTCAACGGCCCCCCAGAGCCGGTGCTCCTTGATACGGCTTCGATCCAGGCGGATCGCATCCTGCTGATGGACACGTTCTTCCAGATCCTGATCTATCACGGCGAGACGATTGCCCAGTGGCGGGCCCTCAAGTACCAGGACATGCCCGAGTACGAAAACTTTAAGCAGCTGCTCCAAGCTCCTGTGGATGACGCCCAGGAGATCCTCCAGACACGCTTCCCCATGCCCCGCTACATCGACACGGAGCACGGTGGATCCCAGGCACGCTTCTTGCTCTCCAAGGTCAATCCTTCCCAGACGCACAACAACATGTATGCCTACGGACAGGTGAGTTCCGCAGCCACGCCCTCGGCTGGCCACATTTGATTGATCTTTGCAGCGCGCTCCTTTGCGACATCGAAAACTCAATCTCAATCGATATCTCAATCTCGTTTTATGTTGGTTTTGTTTCTCTCATTGTGTAATCCGTACCCGTATCCGTAACCGCTCCTCTGTCATGCGCAGGCGCCAATTGGTCAAGTCACGGTAGTACCCTTTTGTTCAACATTCAACATCTTATCTGGAATAGGTTGATTTTTGCACAAGAAATTGTATGGGCGGGCATAAATTCTTTGGTAAATTTGATATTAGCCAGGTTAGGCTGACAGAAGTATGTTTTTTTTGCCCACGCCTAACACCATTTTATTAGAAGAAAATATTTTTCTTTTGACTTTAAAACGCTTTTTACAAATTGCCATTTTTTTTAACCTTGGCGTAACTTTAAAATTGTACACCCACATAAAGATTGTTGTGATTAAGTTGGGATAAAAAACTAAAAACGAGCACTTAGAAGAAACATGGAACTATATAATTACGAAAAGTGGAGTCATTTTCGGTTAGCCAGTGCTATCTTCATTCCAATTGGATTTAATTTATAAATTTATCATAAATAGTATTGAAAATTAATGTGTGCAATCTTTTATTCTCCCTCCTGAAGGATTCCTTGAAAATTTACCAAAGATTTTGCGATTGTCCCTACTTTTTCGTGTATATTCAAGCATTTGTATAATTTTGCCTATTCAATATTTTAACGTATTTGTAAGTTCCTTTGGTGTCGGACTCTTCTCGGTGTTTGTGCCTCTCGCTCATTTCCCTCCTCCACCTTTACCACTGTCCCTCCCCCACCCATCATTTTACTAATTCTCTGAATCGCTAAATCTCAATAGGATGGCGGAGCTCCGGTCCTCACGGATGATGTCTCGCTGCAGCTGTTTATGGAGCACCTTAAGAAGCTGGCCGTGTCCACTACCACATAAATGAGTACGGGTCTAGCGATTTCTTTCCCGGATGGCAAAGTCAACTGGAACTGTTGGCCTAGGCAATGCAATTACAGATATACACCCACTTATTCCAATTGATCGTCTGAAAACACAATAAACTATTCAAATTATGTTCAACAATTTATGTGTTAATGGCTTTTATTTAGAAGCAGCTAAACACAGGATTAGAATTTTTGTTGCCGGAATGAGTTTGCTATTAAAAGAACAAGGTAATAACAAAAAGAAAATCGCGTTTCTTCCTTTATAACAACTACTAATACAAGTTAGCCCGGAGCTTTCCTGAAACCTTTCAACAGTTTTACGCAATAATTGGTGTGCAAAGAAAAGCCATATAGGCTTCATAATAAATATTTTATTGTTTTAGAGTCCAAAAGAGTTACGAAATGTATTCTCATCATTATTTGATTACATTTCCACATTCGTATTTTAGTTTTAGAACCTGAACTTTTTCTGTAGCACCCGTGTTTTTTAAGAAGAAATCAATGACATTTTTACATCTTAAATATACATTTCATAATTTTTTAGTTGCTTAAATCACTTTGAGACGCTCTTGGAATTTCTTTGAAATTTTAGGTATTAAACTGGATTAACAAGCAACTCAATTACTGTTATAAAATCATCAGAGGTTTCAGCAAGCCACCGAAATGCCTCTCGACCGACTCCGCCCTAAATTATTTGGTACACACTGACTAAGAAGCTCGCTCTTTCTTCGTGATCCCTAAATCCACCCTAGTTGAGAAACCGTATGGACATCTTTTGGTCCACGTCGGTGCGGTCCAAAGCCTTGCAGAAGTCCTCGAACGAGATCTTGCCCTGGCAGCACAGATCCGCTTCCAGGATCGTGCGTTCCGCAATGCTCGCCAGCTGGTCCTGGCTGATGTTCGCGCCCACCATCATGTGCAGGATGGACAGCAACTCGTCCCGGCTGATCACGCCATCGTCGTCCAGATCGTACATTTTGAACGCGAACTTCAGCTTCTCCTCGCGGCTGTTCAGCTTGCTCTGCTTGTTATCCCTCAGCGGACGGAAGTGGGCCAGGACGTTCATGAACTGCCGGAAGTTCACCCGGTCGTCGTTGCTCTCGGCAAAGAAGGAATGCACTATTCTCTCGCACAGCGGGTTGATGGCGAGCTCCGGTATACGCATCAGATCCTCCCGGGACAAAGTTCCGCAATCGTTGCGATCCAGCGAGGTGAAGCGCGAGTACAGTCGCTCAATTTGATTGGGGGTGACTGCGCAAAAATAAATTGAATATTTTATATTTAATTTATTACAAAGAGGTCTATTGAAAGTATAATTGGTATTAATTACACTATGCAGCATCAAAAATTAACCTCGATGAATGCTATATTTTTGGATTCGTTACGAATTCCCAAGTTAAACTGCGTTTTCCAAAGAGTTCCCCGACGCAAGGATTCTTAGCAAAAGGACCTCAAAGTTCGAAAAATGCTGAAATTGACCAACTTTGCGGAGCTCTCAGAGGCAAATGGATGCATGGCTTGGTTCGAAGTTAAAGTTTTTTAAAAGATACACCCATTATCTTTTAAAACCCATACATAAAATAATTTTAGCATTTTTTTTAAGGCAGAAATTAATTCCAAAAAACATAGTCAAAAAACTGAAAAACATACAGCTGCGGTCAAAATAGTAGCAGTGTTGCCGCCTTGTGTTTTTAAAAGTTTGATGTTGTAATTTTTCTTATCCAATTAGTCTAATAGTAAAATTATGATCAATACAATATTACCAGGAAAAGATCAATCACAACAACAAACTTTTAAATACACAGGGCGGCAACACTACTACCATTTTGACCGCTGCTGTATACTTTTATGTTTTTTGACTATGTTTTCTAGAATTTGTTTCTGCCTTAAAAAAAATCTAAAAAATTTTTTAAGTATGGGGTTTAAAAGATAAGGGGTGTATCTTTTAAAAAACTTTAACATCGAATCAAACCATGCATCCATTTGCCTCTGAGAGCTCCGCAAAGTTGGCTAATTTCAGCATTTTTCGAACTTTGAGGTCCTTTTGCTAAGAATCCTTGCGTCGGGGAACTTTTTGGAAAACGCAGTTTAACTTGGGAATTCGTAACGAATCCAAAAATATAGCATCCATCGAGGTAAATTTAAAAAGCACTAAAAATGCTGCACAGTGTTATTAATCATTAATCAGGGTCACTAGCCGAGTCGATATAGCCATGTCCGTCTCTCCGTCCGTATGAACGCTGAGATCTCGAAAACTACAAAAGCTAGAAGGTTGAGATTTTCCACACATATTCTTGGGCTTCCTACGCAGCGCAAGTTTATTTTAGCCGAGCGCCACGCCCCCTCTAACGCCCACAATCGCCCACTAACAATTTTAAAATGTGTCTGGCGCCCAAACCTTTAAAGATTTCCGAGAAGTATGAATGCAATTTTGTTGTGCATAATTATACCTATCAAAATGTAAAAACATTTTTCAAATCGGACCATTCATTAAAAAGTTATACGCAGTCAAAAAAATGTTATATATCCATCTCCCTCACACTCCCTTTAGCCAAGTGACGGGTATTAGATAGTCGGGACACCAACCCACCTATAGCGTTCTCTCTTGTTTTTATCTAACTATATTGGAAATTCCATCAATAAATGTCTACTTTTCAACATTATATTAAAAATCATTTAAGAATTTAAACGGGGAATATTGTCAACCATTATAAGATATTAGTTTTACCATGAAAGCCCGTCGAATGGCACCTATGTATTTACTGTGTTTGTGCTAAAGAGTCCACTTTTCGAATTAGTTGTTATAAAATCGGGCTGATAAGAGCGAACCCCTTATCAATTGGGCTGATACTACCTGGTCGAACATTGGATACAAGTTCCAATGCGGTGGCAATTTCAATTGCGGCCTTATCGCGGACGGAATATTGAAATTACACGGTCTCGGACACTAGATAATTGCCAGCCAATATCGTTGATAGGGGCCGACTTTTGCCCCCGCCTTCTATTTCTCTGTATAGCCACCGATGACGTCACGCGGGAGGTGCAGGTGCAATCGAAATGCAAATTGGTTTTCGCTGGAAATGTCTGTGCATTTACAGCTAATATACGGCGCGCAGTTCTGCATAATTTCGAAGGACTTGGAGTTTTTGTGAACACGTCGAGTTTTAGAGTTCAATATAGAAATGGGGAATCTGAATTATTTGAACAATCGATGGTTTTAGCCATTAGGCAAAAAGCTCTTAGCACTCCAGTGCGATATTGTTGTTTGCTTTGCTCGTGGCACATTTATTTATATCCTAGTGCGTATTTGTTTTGGAACGCGGGTGAAATGTCTCGGGGTCTAAGGCCCAAGGTTATCACCTCCAACACTTCGTACTTACAGCCAGTCTCCTCCTGGATTTGCGCGATCTCCTCGTTCCGCAGGAAAAGCGACGATTTATTGCCCATGGTGACGTAGTTTTCGTGCGCTGATCTGATCGATTTGTTTAAACTTTCAACGATAGCAGGCGAGCATTGAATGGCATTGGATTTGGATCAGAAGTCCGATTTGTGTACAGTCTGCCTGCGGGTGGATAGCTGGAAAATGTCGAAATCCGAGTTGCGAAAAAATACTAAGCAGTCTGGCGATAGTTTGCATTAGGGATGGACTTTTGTTGAGACATCCCCTGAAACATATATGGGTTTGTATAGAGAATCGTTGAGGCAAACAGCTGAACGGCATACGCAAACCGAAACCGAAGGAAGAGGAGTGAAAATTAAGTTTTACGCTAGCATTTGGAATGTTTTCAGCGCTGAAGCGGAGTTGTAGCGACGTTTCCCCTCCTTTTCTAGCACGTGTACTTCTTATGGAGGAAAAAGTCGCTGGAGCCAAAGTTGGTCGCTGTAGCAGAAACCCTCTGTCTGAACAGGGCTTAAAAATGTAAATTTTCGTGCCATCACTGACTCGTGACTGGCACTTGTAATTTCCCATCCCTATTGGCATAAGCGAAAAAAACGTAAACATTGGTTTTGCCGGATCGGAATCTTAGTAATGGACAAGCTAAATTTGACTCTGACTGCCATTAAGAACCTGCGGTCCAGTGTGAGGCAGTGTTTTGAGCACCTGGCCGACGGAACCGATGGCGAAGGCGGCGAGGAGAGCCGAAATAAGTTTGTGCACGACTTCCAAGAAAGATTCGGAGCCATCAACTCGCAATTGCGGTAACAAAAAAATAGTAGCCTTTTATGATGAAGCAAATAAAATTACATCAACCACTTGCAGCGAAGTGGAGCAGCTGATAAATGCATTGCAGGTACCGCCCACGCCCTATTCTCTGGGAAATACGGCTTACCTGGCGCAGGAGACTTCCCAGGAGCGACAGGCTCTTTACCCACAACTGGTAAACAGCTACAAGTGGGTCGACAAGGTGCACGACCACAGCTTTCTGGCCTTCAACAATCTCAACCAAAACACGCTGAGACGCTCCTACAACTACTGCTCTCAAAAGCGCCAGCGCCTACCCTTCTCGTCCTTCAACAATGATCCGGAGTAAGTGTAAAGCAGAGTCCTCCATTAACTAACAATGCTGAACTCGTTTTTCTTAGTTCGTTTCATTATAATAATATTTTTTGTAATACTGGGGTGTTACAGAAGCAACTTACAAATCCGTTCGCGCTTCGAACCTTTTAAAATTGGCGAGATATCTTTGGCTTCCAGATTAAAATATTGGGTGGAATATGAATTTAAGGGCTTTAAGTAAGAGTCATAAATAGACCTCGGAGTTTGCATATTTCCATATTTTTATAGGATAAAGATAGATCAATTCCGAAAACACCAAAGTTCGTTTCAATAAAAATATAGTTTAAAATTAATGGCATATTTTATTGTTTTTTGCATATTTGCATAAAATGCATATGCATAAAATATGCAAAATATAAAATAAACTCAATTATTCAAGATTGACCATTTCATAGCCAACCTAATTTACCCGAAGAAAATTGTTTGTTCCTTTTCGTTATTTCTGAGATATCTAATTTTTTCCCAAATTTAAGGAAACCATATTTATATTTTCAAGGAGTAGGCGAGAAGGGGGCAAAAATAGTAAAAGGGGCAGAATAGTTTTTAGCCCTATCGGCCAAACTGCTCGTTTAAATTGCTCGCCGTGTTTACTGAAGGTTCTTTAGAATACCAGAGGGCTGCAATAATAATTTGAGCTTCCAGTTGCTCGCATATTTTTTGAATACTTTGCATATATTTTGCATATTTTCCGATATGCATCCGAATTAATAATTAATAATTAATAATTTGAGCTTCCAGTTGCTCGCATATTTTTTGAATACTTTGCATATATTTTGCATATTTTCCGATATGCATCCGAATTAATTACATTGAAAATATGACATCTACCCAGAAATTTAGGTACAAATCCGACCAAAAATGGACAAATATGCAAAATCCGAGGTGTAGACAAAAATAATATGTTTTTTATATTTTGTATATCTTACGAATTTATGATAGATATCTTATGATTTGAGATTCTCGCAGTAAAAGCTATACTTTTGATATACTTTTTGTTTAGGGATGTTCTTAAAGTACTCAAGTTGAAAGTAACACCCCAAATAAAATAATTTATAATTTACATTTTGACTTACCAATTTATGCAATTTATCCCTAGTTTAAAGCTTTGAAACACGTGACGTGGCACTTAAAAAAGTTTTCCCATTTACATTATTTCTGATCATAGCCACATAGACAAGCTGCTGAGTGAGATCAACACCCCACCGCATACATCGTACCGGATTTTTCGACCCTTCGGCACGAACGCAGTCGCCATCGTTACGATCAGCAATGTGATGAAGGCGGCTATAGTTTTCAAAGGAGTGCTTATAGAGTGGGTGACTGTGAAGGGCTTCGACGAGCCTCTGGAGCACGACGACCTGTGGGCAGAGTCGCGTTACGAGGTGTTCCGCAAGGTGCAGGAGCATGCCCACTCCGCCATGCTGCACTTCTTCTCGCCGACTCTCCCCGATTTGGCGGTAAAGAGCTACGTAACATGGCTGAATAGCCACATAAAGCTGTTCCTGGAGCCCTGCAAGCGTTGCGGAAAATTCGTGGTTCATGGATTGCCTCCCACTTGGCGGGACTTGCGCACCCTCGAACCCTTCCACGAGGAGTGTCGCAACTGCTGAAAATTTTTAAATACATAATACTGATAGTCGTAACTTGTATACTTCATTTATTTCAAAAACAAAAAATTATATGTACTTTGAATGGATGCGGGCGGATTTTTAAAAATCGCCACGCTCGACTGAATAACTACAACGGTTTAATGCGTTTTTTAATGGCCAGCCAGGGCAGAAGTCGCCCGCTTCGATTTCTGCACCTGCGTCTGTACGCCGCGCTGCAGGCACAGGCGCTCGAAGTTAGCGCGCAGCGTGGCGCGGAGCTGCTCCCGCTGGCGCTGCACCTGCTCCCGGTGACACTTAAAGGCCAGCACCACCTCCTGTGGAATGTAATAGCTTTCCTCGTCTTTGTCGTCGTATTCGTCAAAGTCGTCCTGCAAAGGTAATTGAGAGCGGTTAGTTAAATTATATTGAGAAAAATAAACAGAAACATTGCTGATTTTATAAAAGAAAATGTGACTAAATAAATATAAAATAATGAACAAAATATATGCAAGACAAGAGCTATAACCCTGATCCAAGTATCCATATAAAATAAGGTTTGAAAAGATTCATTTCGAAGCCTCTTTTACAGCGCGAAAAACAGCGCTTTTTCAACGTTTTTTCCGATCGTTCTCATGGGAGCTATAGGATATAGTCGTCGGATCGGCACGCGATTTTATCGTGATCAAGGTAAAATACGATTTGAAAAGTTCATGTAAACAGCTTGTACATTGAGCGAATTTTCTTTAATTTTTGCAAGTTTTGATATCTTGTGGGTGCCATAAGATACACGCGTCCGATCGAACTTTTTTCAAACTTAATCTGCTTTTTTTAATAGAAAATTTGATCAACCAACTAAATGCGTTCGCACATTTTAATACGACTGAAAGTGTCAAATCTTTAGCTTTTAAAATGAGTTCGCAAACGGTATTATAACAGGCGGACATGGCTATATCCCTAGTGATCTTGATATAGAAAATCAGCTTAAGATATGGACATAACAGAATTCGTACATTTCTGCAATTAATGCTCGGAGTTCAGAACTTCTTTTATAAATTAAACTCCTTTAACGAATGATTTCCAAAAAAAAAATAATATAAACCAGTAACTGCAAAATATTAAAACCTGTTACTGAAAGATTTATAAATTTCCTTAAAAAGACCCCAAGACTCACCCACATCTGCAACAATGAAAACTTGTGATCCAACTGCGACTGATGGCCATAAAACAACAGGTCAGAGACGTAGCTGTTTCGGGCCGTCAGGCCGTCAGAGTCCTCGTCGTGGCCATCGTGATTACACAGCCCGTCCGAGCAGGACACTTCCGAACCCTCTGGCGACGAAACCACGCTGGAAGTCCGCGAGTCGGCGTGCGAAGTGGGATCGCTACCGTAACCAGAATCGCGCACATCCTGCTCACACGGGCAGTTGGGCATTGGGGCCAGGCACTCCTCGCACTTTTCGCCGCCGTCCGTCTTGGCGACGCTCGACGAGATGCAGCTGGCCACGTCCAGGTGATCGTGATCGTCGTCCAGTGGTTGGACGCTAGCAGAGGGCTGCATCTGTTTCCGGTTACCGGCCTTTTGGGAGGCAGCTGGCTTCTGCTTCTTTTTCTTCGCTTGCTTCTTCGGTTTCGATTTCGTTGGCTTGGACGTGGGCTCGGGTTCGGGCTCCGGATGAGGTGCCTCTATGACAATGCCATCGTCCGCACCTGGATCGCTTAGCTCCACACTGTGCTCCTGAGTCTCTTCCTCCGCCTGCTCCTGCTCTAGCTCGTCCTTCTCCAACTCCTCCTCCTCTTCCTCGTCGGACTCGTTGGCCTCAGTATCCTCGCACTGTCGGTGCAGCAGGTTCTTCTTCTCGTCCTTCTTCTTCTTCTTCTTGAGCTTCTTCTGCTCGCGCTTTATCTGCTTGGCCCGCTCCGCCCGGCTGATCTCCTGGTAGAGCAGCTCCAGGTTGCTGATCCCCTGCTTCTGCTCCACGAACGTGTCGAAGCTGCGGCAGAGAGCGTGGACGCCCACAGCGGCCAGCACCTGGCAGGCGCGCTCCTCCTCCCGCAGACTAACGTAGATGCGACGCAGCCGTTCGTACATAATCATACCCACACAGGTCAGCACCTCTTCCTGGGCGATCTCCAGCGTTTTGGCGTGGCGCTCGCGCAGTTTCGAGTAGCTGCCGTTGACCTCCGGCTCAGCGCGCTTGATCAGTGCGTCCAGGAACTCAATCTTGTTGGTGCTCACGTGGATGTGCTGGTCGGGCACGCACTTCCGAATATGGGCGTACAGCTGGGCCGCATAACCCTTCTCCTTGGCCGAAATCTCGCCAATGAGTATTTTGTAGGCGCGCTCAATCTGCCAAAGAATTTGAAGTATTAGTAACTTAGTAATACACACAAAAAATAGATTGTTAAAATTAACCATAATAATAGTAAAATGGTCCCCAATA